ATTATACACACAACCAAATACCATTCACACATTAACTTAATTATCCACTTGGTAATTCCTTTAATCACTCTTTTCATTAACTTCCAATTAACAGTTCATGTCATACCACACGAGTCTTAACATAATTTCATACCTTAACATTAGACCCACATTTTTAGTTAGTTAAACCACTAACCCAAGTAAGTATTTAATATTTTTCATTAAGGCTTAATATACCTTAACACCACTTGAAACTTACTTGATTTCACTTCACAAACATCACACGACCTTTAATTAAATTTAATAAATATACCATGATATTTAATCAATCATGGCCGAATTACATCTAATCGAAATCATGCATTTTTATGCATTCTTTTCTTTCAATTATTTACTCAATTTGATATATCATTCAACCTAATTCATAACCACTTGATATTAGGTTAGTTTCACATCACACATAAACTACAACACTTTAACTTATATTCTTTCACACACGATTTATGTACATTTTATTAGTGTAACTTTCTTTTTCTATTTATCATGCTTACAAACTTTACATGATTTGGATTCAATTTCCATTCACTTACTATTTTTCCTTACATAGTCATATTGACACCTATGTAATTCATTTACTTTCCTCACATCAAATCCAATTAAACTATGTTCAATCTTCATTCTTTTTACCAATTGAATATAATACAACATTCATTTATCAAGTTACATAATTTTGGTAATTAAACCTATGTTGGCCGAATTATGCATGTTATAATTCTCTATGATTAGCCAACTTAATCACTTAACAATTCACATTTATTTACACCACACAATTCATTAAACAATCTAGTTTAATTAAACAATCATTACTTGACACAAACACTCTATGTTTTCCAATGACACTTATATGATTCCTATGTCATTCATTTGATTTCTTTTCAATGTGAACCACCATAAATCTTGATTAAACATACACTAGACACAGTTTAATTAATTAAACACAATTAATTAACAATCCTAGCTATTTTAATTTCATATGGCCGAATGGCCTTAATTCTACATCATTAGTTTAATCTCACATTTTCCAATTAATTTCCTTTCATTCAAACATCATCAAATTATCCTAGAACCTTAATTTCATTTTAACATTTCATCAAACACATAATTTATAGAATTTATCTCTTGATGGCCGAATGATATGTTGTAAAATTACAAGGTTCTTAAACTTGTTTTAAACATTTCCAAGCATAGTTTCACATAAAATTAACATACAAACTCAAAAAAAACTTCAAACCACATCAAATATTCATGATCATCATAAACCCTAATCAAACTTTAACCATATGAAAAACATCTTCCAACCATCAAAATTAGAAATTAATACCTTGAATGGTTCCTTGAACATCAAGCTTTCTTTTCCACCAATCAATTTTCAAAAACCCTAACTTTCTCTCTAGATGAATAGTTCCAACACTCTTTGGATGAGGGTTTCTCACACTACAAAGCTCATCCAGAAGAAAGAAAAAGAGATTCAAGCTCACAAGATCAAAAGCTATCACTTTTGTGTAATGAGTTTTCTCCAAAAAGTGCTTGAAATTCCAAGAACAATACTCTCTCTCCCTCTCTAGCTCTTGTGGTTCGGCCATGTGAGGAGGAAGAAGAGAAAAACTTTCGTGTAACACTTAAGGAAGAAAGAATGACTGGTTACACTTAGAAAAATCAAAAAGTTACTTAACTTTTTCACTTTTACAAGTTACACACTAGTTGAAATCATGTTGGTCCTTTATCTTCATACTAGCCTTGTCATCTTTCTTCACAATATTCTAGAATTTCTCTAGGTGTACAAATCGTCCAACCAAGTGCAAGGAAGACTAGGATAGCTTACTTGACATTTTGAACACTTTAAGACTTTCAAACTTTACAACCATTGGTCCATTTGTTCAAGACTAGTTAACCTTGATTCTTATTGGTTAGTCAACACTTAACTTTGATCTTGAAGAATATAAAGTATACAAGGTCTCAAAGAATCAATCATACATCAAAAATCATGCAAAGATTTCACAAAGTTAAGTTTTGTTACTAACTCAACAACTTTGTATGCAACTTTGACCTATACCAACTTTTATTGGTTATTAATTTTCCTTACTTTGACCAATTTTTAGAAATTAATCTAGACATAGTTTGATCATAATAAGATCACTTTGAATCCATAGAATTTAATTGCATCTTCAAAATCAATCTTTGACTTAACCTTGGTTAATTACCAAGGTAATCCTAACTTTTCACATAATGACATCTATGTCCTCACATATGCCTTATACTTATTTGAGGGACCTATTAGACTTGTTTGGCATGAATAACTTGTTTATCATGTCAATTATATGATTTACCATTTGCCATTTCCTTGAATACGTGTTTAAATTTCCACTTAAACACTTGAATTATTTACTGTCAATTATTTGACAGTAAGGGTTGTTATAGCCGCTACTGCCACAACCACCACTCCACCACTACCACCACCAACCATCACTACCATCGCCCTAATCACTGCCGTCACCACAACCACCATGCCATCATCATCACCACGCCACCGCCACCAACCTCTACCATCATCGTCGCACCATTGCCATCAACACCACCGCCGTAGCCACTGCCATCACCGCCACCACCATCGCCACTGCCAACATCACCACCACCATCGTCGCAATCACGGCTGTCACCACCACTACCACTGCCGCCACTACCACTATGCTACCACCATCGCCACCATGACCACCACTACCGCCATAGCCACTATCGTCGTCACCACCACTACCATCACCATGCCGCCACCGCCACCGCCACCACGACCATATAGAAAGGAAAGTGATGATTTGAAATTTTTTTATGTTTAATAAGAATTATTTTTTATTATATTGTTTGTTATGTTATTAAACGCAGACGTAATTCTTATTCTCGGAATAAAAATAAAACATGTTATCAAATATATACATATATATATATATATATATATATATTCTTAGAAACTGTTCCAAGACACAGAAATAAAAAAAATTATTTTTTTAAAAAATAGTGCAAAAAATAGAATAATTCTCCTCTCGAACCCAACCATTACTGAAACTGTGTCCTTTAAAGCTGCTAAGCTGCCACGTGTATGAAAAAATTTATTATGTTTCAGGCCTATTATTTATTAGGATATATTTATCTCATTTTATATGAGATAAACAACTTTACTACACACAAAAAATTATTGAGTCCCACCACTCTTTTTTTTCTCTCCTCTTATCTGTGAGTTCCACTTATAATTTTATCTCAACAACATGAGATAATTTTTTTTCTACGATATAAGAAAAGTATTTCTCTTACTTATTTAAGGGTTCCTTTTTTATAAATAAATTTTTTTATTTATTCCTTTTTTACTGTTTCGAGAAGAGACCATGCTTCATGCCCATATAAAACATCTGCCCATGCACACCACAAAAAAATCCCCACCTCGGCGAAGATATAGCTGTCGGCCACCAACTGTAGCGCTTCCCCAGCTAGGATTTTATAAACTTTGCGGACACCTGATATGCTGTAAGATTGTCTTTTCGTAGTTTTTACTTTATATTATTATTTTAGTAAGACGCTTTATTTTTTTTAATAAAAAAAGTGAAAAAACAAAAAATAATTACAGATGGGGAGTGATCATTTCATTTGAGATTGATATAAATATCCGACGATTGCAATATATTTATCAGCTATTCAGTTGAGTATGAAACTATCTATGTTCTCTTGAGTATGAAACTCAATATTATTAAATTTGAGATTGATATAAATATCCGACATTGCAATATATTTATCAGCTATTCAGTTGAGTATGAAACTATCTATGTTCTCTTGAGTATGAAACTGAATATTATTAAATTCGGTCCGGTTATTGATCCGGTCGAGGTATTGGATTATTGGATTATTGGTTCAACTAGTGGGTCACTGGTTCAACCGCATGACCTGATAAGTATATGTAAATTTATAATTTATATTAAAAAAAACTATAAATATACTTAAATACTTATAAAAAATATACTAATTTCAAATATTTTAATATGAAAATAATAAATTACACATCATTGTCAAACAAAAAATCAATCAAACATATAATATTTGTGATACTAGTGTTTCAGGTTCAGTAAACGACATCTCTAACTATAAATCAAATCAAAATTCTCTGTATATTGCATAATCAAGATAATATTAATGTTGTAGGTACATAATCTATGTAAGTTAATAAGGTACAAATTACTCAAATATTTCAAAAGAAAACAAATCGTTTGTGTTAGAGTAAAAAAAAGAAGACATTAATTTATGAAAATAAATTAGTTTTTTTTTTATAAACTGGGCCGGGTCATCGAATGAACCGATCGGGTCACCGATTTTTACAAAATCAACCAGATCGCACCGAATTACACCGATTTTGTAATATAGCCAATCCAATATAAAAATTGAACTGGTTACATAACCGATTCACCGATTTCGGGTCGACCCGGCCGGATCGATCCTTTATAACATTGATGAAACCATATTTATATGTGTGACGCTTTTTTTTAAAGGGTTTTATTAATCTCCTTCCACATAAGATAATTATCTTATGTGGTAGAGAGAAAATGAGTGGGTTCTACTATTGTAAGAAAAAAGAAAAAGAAAAGAAAAAAGTAGGGTGTGAAAATCGAAGTGAGAAAAAATGAGATAAGTTACCTTATGTGAAAGCAGAGTAATGTTTGCCTTTTTTTTTAGGGTGCATATTTTCTTATGTTGTAGGATAGTATGAGAGAAAAAAAGTAGAGATAAGTTAAATGTGGGTCTCACATTTTAAATTAAAAAAGAAAAGAAAAATTAATTAGCACGGAAAACGAATTTGTGTAGGAAAAAATTCTTTTCTCATGTAGATGGAGATAATGATTTCCCTTTTTTTTTAAGTTTGGCAAATGATCCACGTGTCCTAAAATCATTTTGTGTGCTTTTCCTTCGTTCCCACAGCAAAGAAACAATCCTAGAGTAATCCAGAAACAAAAATGGAGCTATTTTCCACAGCTGCTATCTGGGTTCTGACAGTGATACTTGCTGTGATTCCTATATGGGCATGGCAGATGCTGAACTCGTTTTATCTGAAGCCAAAGAGGTTGGAAAGGGTTCTGAGAGGGCAAGGTCTTCAAGGAGATCCATACAAGCTTTCAGTTGATAACCCGAAGCAATTGTATATGCTGAAGTTGCAACAAGAAGCCAAATCCAAATCAATTGGTCTCTCCGATGATGTTACACCACATATCTTCTCTGCTGCTCAACAAACTGTCAACAAATACGGTATATATGTTGTTGTTTCCCACTACCTTCCCAACTAGTATTATCTGCTATTTTCATTTTTGGATATTATCAATGGGTTCATTAATTATCGATTTGAGCTAATTACTTGACTTTCGAGATTAGTCAAGTATTATATTATATGCTATTTTCTTCTAACACAAATGATTTCCTAAAATAACAACAATTAGATTGTGTGTTGAGTTTTGAAACTTCAATTCAAAGGGGCAAGAGATCCTTAAAAGCTGTTGAGATTCATTCACGAGATTGGTTTCTTGAAAAGCTGTATATTTAAAAATTCGTTCCTTTTTTTCTAGTATTATTTTACCGGGGAGCATCTTTGGCGTCTTGGTACAGATATTTGTTTAGGCAAAGTTTTATTTATTTTATTTTTATTTGGCCCCTCAATTTGACAAGGAAGTGATAGTAGGGGTGATATGGTTGCTGGAGAGGATAATAATGAATGGAGATACTTAGTTTCTTATGCTGTTCAGTCTTGTCTTACACCCTATGCACTAAAGGTATCTATATGAGAAAACAGATATTGGAGGAGTTTATATTACCATATATGAGTACCAAAACATTATATGAACTTGTTGCCAATGTTAAATCACATATAGATATTAAGTCCTCGTTTAGTTGTTGAAGCCTTTTTTGAATAGTTTCTGATAACTAAAGGGTGTGCAGGCAAGAATTCCTTTTTATGGGAAGGTACAACACCAAAGGTGATCATCACGGACCCAGAGCAAATCAAAGAAGTCTTTAACAAGATGCAGGACTTCCCCAAACCCAAGTTAAATCCCCTTGCCAGGTTTTTCAGCACTGGTCTAATACAATATGAGGGTGATAAGTGGACTAAACATCGGAAGATTATCTCCCCAGCATTTCACTTGGAAAAATTGAAAGTAAGGTTATTGCTTTAATATATTCTTGCAATTTGTAATCAAATTCTAATTTTTCTTATTCTAATAGGATTTACTTCACACTTGATTTACAGGATATGCTACCAGCATTTTCTCAAAGTTGCCATGATATGATTAGCAAATGGAAGGAAATGTTGTCATCAGATGGAACAAGTGAGATTGATGTTTGGCCTTTCCTTCAAAATTTGACTTGTGATGTAATTTCTAGAACAGCTTTTGGAAGCAGCTATGCAGAAGGAACAAAAATATTTGAACTTCTGAAGAGGCAGGCGTATCTTTTAATGACATCTACGCATACGAACATTCCACTGTGGTGGTAAGAATATCTGTGATTTTGGTATACTTGACAACTAAATAATCATGTTCTAGTTTTACCATAAGTAAACTCACCATGAAATTCTTAAAAGGAAACAGCTTATTGCCATTTATTGCTATGGAAATTATTTTCTTATGTAACAAAAGGTATGAAGTTCTTTTGCTATGTCTATAGTCTAATATGGACATAAACAAAAGGTACATAGAAAGCTTGTACCTACATTTAGCCTATAAATATCACATTTTACATGAGATTGATGTCTACTAGTCCATGATCTCTGTAGTCCGAAGCATCTCATGAAATTCAAAAGAACCATTGTCCCTAAGATGTCCAAGTGTTTAAGATAAAAGATATAAACTCTGAATAACAATTTTGCACACTGATCTTGAATAATTATGGAGTGCATGTAGCTTTTGATTTACTGTATGTCTCTTACCAAGATATTTGATATCTAGTTTTTTAAAGATCTTAGATATTCAAGTGATATGGCATACCAAATGATTCATATGTGAGTTGCTACAGCTGAGCTCAAGTTGTTACAGAGTATTAACCTATGTTAGTTGCAAATAAATTTAACAGTTATAGGCTAGTACATTCCTTCACGATTAACATCTCTAGATACATATGCTTCTAGGCTTCTACCAATAGCAAACAATCGGAGGATGAAGGAAATTGACAGAGATATATGTGATTCAGTTGAGGCTATCATTAAAAAACGAGAGGAAGCTATGATGAATGGCGAAGCCACAGTTGACAATTTATTAGGCATACTTCTGGAATCAAATCACATTGAAAACCAAGGACCTGGAAACAGTAAGACTCTTGGAATGACCAACAAAGAAGTAATTGAGGAATGCAAGCTATTCTACCTAGCGGGCCAAGAGACCACTTCAGTTTTGCTGGTTTGGACAATGGTGTTATTGGGTAGGTATCCTGAATGGCAAGAACGTGCAAGGCAGGAAGTTTTGCAAGTTTTTGGAAACCAAAATCCAAACTATGATGGATTAAGTCGCCTTAAAATTGTATGTATCTTACGGCTTCATATTGATTATTATTATTATTATTATTATGGGTTCAGTTTTTCTAACGTCAATGTAGATAACTTATCTACATTGATGGAATATAAATATGGAGAATCATAACCATACAAAGATGGAAATAAATATAACTGTTGGATTAACATAATCGATCTAACGGTGTAATTGATTGGTAGTAACATTAAATGGTTGTTACAATATTCTTCCCCTTCTTATAATACTTTTTGGTGCTAACTTCTGCCTCATTCCACAGGTTACCATGATTTTATATGAGGTTCTTCGGTTATACCCACCTGCAGTTTACTTCAATCGAGCTCTTCGAAAGGATGTAAAACTTGGAAACCTATCACTGCCTGCAGGAATACAGGTTTCCCTTCCAATACTTTTGATTCACCAAGATCATGATATCTGGGGCGATGATGCAAAGGAGTTCAACCCTGAAAGGTTCTCTGAAGGAATTGCAAAGGTAACGAAAGGCCAAGTTTCTTATTTCCCATTTGGATGGGGTCCAAGAATATGTATTGGGCAAAATTTTGCCTTATTGGAAGCGAAGATAGTATTGTCATTGCTACTGCAAAACTTCTCATTTGAGCTTTCACCGGCCTATGCTCATGTTCCTACCACTCTGCTTACTTTGCAGCCAAAACATGGGGCACCCATCATTTTACATAAATTGTAATATCATCATATATAGCACTTGGATTGAAAACTGTTTTAAGATCCTGTAATGCTTGTATGTTTACAAATTAGATTCTACTTCTCGTACGTACAAATTGAGTCACAGTTTCACTGTGAAGATGCTTGTTCCAAAATTCTATACTCTATAGCATAACTTGTAGAGTAATCTCTGGGATTGATTTGTAGGGACTTAGCAGTTCCCTCCCTCACTTCGGTAAAACTTGTTCATTTGATTTGTAAAATATTCTCAAATCAAAATTATTCACTAGTAAAATCTTGTGAACAGTTTTGTTTAAATTGATATGATTTTTAAAAGTTTACTACTAGGCCGAGAGAAAGTTAAATGACTTTAGAATAATTAAATTACAAATCTTATTTCTTAATCCTAGTTAAATACTTGTTTGAGAAATTTCAGAAATATAGTGCATGACCTCAGAAAGAATTTTAGTTTCACCCATCATACTCATTTCAAATTCAGTTTTGACTAGACTGGAAAATTACTTGCATAGCGTGTCGATTTGATTGATTAAAAGATCATTCTTGAATTATATTCTAAATTGTAGTATCCATTTTTCCTCTTGTAAAAGTATTTTCTAAATAAAAACTATTCAATCTTTTGTACCAAACTTTAGGGTTATTTAAGTTTATATAGAGCTTTTGAAAGTTTGAATACATGATAGGAGAATTTTTCATTTTCAAATATAGGTAATTCTAGTATATATATTTCTTCGTTTATAATATCGTTCAAGAAAGCAATTTCTCTGATTAAGTACAAAAAACCTTTAAACCTAAATAAGCAAGATTCTAATAGCTTATAACATGGTCAGAGGTGTACAAGTTTCATCAAAATATATATACCGTCTTATTGAAGGTAACCTTGAGCCACAAATCTAGCCTTATTTTTTTTACAATTCTGTGTGGTTGAACAAAGTCATGAGTCTGATTAGTTTATTCAAGTTCTTCAATTTTTATCTAGGCAAATTCTTTTTTTTTTTTAAGATACAAGTAGAAATTGAACACACAACCTAATACAAACTATTCAAACCCCTCACCATTAGACTACACCTAGTGACTTAAAAGGAAAATTCTTTTAGATTTACTTGTTAGTAGCTTGTATACCGATATCTAAGGGCTAAAACTTTTCATCCAAATCAAAAACATTTTGATTTCTTGATAAAGAGTTAGTTTCATTAAAAACCACATGTAGGCTGGCTTGGTGTACTTAGAAAGTGATCAGTCCAACACGAATTGGACTAGGTCTAATCACACACAGTTGAGGTTAGAGAATGTTGATGAAGAGAAGGTGAGATGTATATATTGTTGCTGAGATGCTGAGATGTTTGATGAGATAAGGGAATGCTTTGTGAGATGGTTGGTCAACACTTTTGCGTATCTGGGCACTTTAGAAGCCATTGTGGGTAGGCGATACCTGCTAAGGCACTCCGACACTCAAATCAGTTTAGTATTCAAGGAGGTTCAAGATTCAAAGAGAGATATCATTCCTAGGCTAAATTCCTCTGGTAAGTAGGAGTTGCCATTCATTCACTGGTTCCTGGTGGTAGCCAACTTGTCTGAGCTGCTGATTTTGGCAATGATGATTCCTTTCAGGTTAAGTCATGTTTGGCTTACTGGCCAAGTTAGCGAAATCCCATGTTTTCTACGAGGGATGACTTTGCTTTGGTGGCTAAGTCATAGGGGGTTTCTGTGCTCTTCGATCTTTATGGGATTGGGCCTTTATCTCGCATGTAATAGTTCCAGATCAGAAGTCCCCCCAGCTTCCTTTTTATGTTGTAGGTATGAGGAGCGAGATGTAATCTCGCTTGTGGCGAGATTCTGCCACGTATTCACAATATTTGCGCTTGAGTGGATTTGGTAATTCATCATTTAACCGCTTAAGAAACGATTGATGTGATTTTATATTATCATAAGCATTTAATGCAACCTTCATTACGTGTGGGTTAATGTATTAACCCTTTGGTCTCCTGTTGACACGCGTCCCACTCGTTGTATTATCATTTCACCTTTGACATTGATAAACCCTTGGTTTACCATGGTTTTGGGTCTAATTATACAAGAAATATATCATGAATTGCATGGAAATTAAGGTTTTACACCATAAAGTCACAAAGATGGAATATTTTGCTAACATCTTGTAATAACTCTTATTTCAAGGGATTTTAACATCCATCAAGGCTTTTTGGAGCAAAAGGAGTGCAACAAGATGATTGGAAGCCTCAAGGAAGCAAGATTACAAGTGTTTACAAGCTGGAAGATGACGTTTTAGCGTCCAGAAGAGAATTAAAACGCTCTAATGAAGGAAAACAACAAGAACTCACTGGAGCAGAACGTTTTAGCGTCCACAAGAGCGCTAAAACGCTCTAATAGCAACCATTCACCCTTCGAAGAGGGCGTTTTAGCGCCCAGAGGCAGATAGGAATGCACTCACAGAACGTTTTAGCGTCCAAACAGAACGCTAAAATGTCCACGTGCGGTCAAATCCAAGCCCATAGGAGATTTCAAATCTGAATCAAGATGTGAACCAGATTTTACGAAGATTTGAAGAGAAATTAAAAGATATATTCTTATCTACAAATAGAAGGCTTAGGGACCAATTGAAAAAGGACATTCAACACCAATCTAGAGAATTACACAGAGACTTGAGGGAGGAATCCTGTTGCGGAGCGTTGGAGCACTGAGGAACCAAGTCAACATCACACCAATGGAGGCTTGGGGTTCTCTTTTCTTTACTATTGTTTTTGAATTCGGTATGTCAGGCTAAACTTTTATGTAGTTAGGGGTAAATGGAACCCAGTTGAATCTTTATGTTTATGAATTAAAATGTCTCTGAATTCTTTTCTTTTTATAATTGAATAAATTTATCTGTCTTTAATGCTTTCTATGAGTTTGCTCCTTATAGAATGATTTAGGGGAATTGTATGACGATAGGGATGTTGGTGCATGAATTCTAACTTGATAAATTTATCACAATCCTTGTGATCTAGGGATAGACATAAGGTAATTGTGCAATCTTTAAATTCTTGATCTTAATGCATGTTTTCTTGGGGAATAATCGGGGAACTAGAGTTCTTTCAAGATCACATAGATTTAGGGTAACTAGGAATTGAGCCCTAATTAACTTAGACAAAATTGACTGGCATTATAATAAGAAAAGGTTCTTGACTGTTTAATTTATAACATAACGAGGATATTGGGGGAAGTTGAAACCCTAACTACGCTTGTTTTTAATTCGTAATCAACCATTATCTTTTCAATTTTTCTTTTTCTGAAACTTTTGATTGCATGTTATTACTTGTTCTAAATTTTAATTCCCTCAAATCCAATTCTTGATTGTCCAGCTAAATCGCGATTAGCGAACTAGTGCTTGAAATTCCGATCCTCGTGAGAACGATCTCGTACACTGGTACACTTTATTACTTTACGATCGGTGCACTTGTAGAGTCGCAACAAGTTTTTGGCGCCGTTGCCGGGGATTGGGTCCTTCAACATTAGAAGTAATTAATTACCTTTTAGATTGGACGTTTTAATTTTCTGAACTTTAACCATACTGCAAAAACATTTTCTGCATTAAAATTCTGCATCAATTTTCTGCATATTTTGCATTCATTAATTTTCTACATTCTTTTTCTGTTTTGATTTTCTGTTTTCTTTTTCTGCATTTTTCTGTTTTTCTGCACATCTTTTTAAATCTTATTTTATGCGAGGTACTCTTAACCCACGAATCTTGCAGTTTGATCTTGAGATAGAAAAGACAGAAAGAAAACTCAGAAAAGCGCAAAAGAAGCGAAAGAAGCATCAAGTTCGACGAAACCAAAGGAGGAAACAATGGCTGACAACAATGCAATTCAGAACCCTTCGAGGACGTTAGGAGATTACATGACTCCAGCTCGAGTTCCGCAGATGACGAGCATTGTTAGACCATCCGTGGATGCTAACAACTTCGAGCTCAAGTCAGCACTGCTGCAACTAATTCAAAAAGATCAGTTCGCTGGAGGAAGCACGAAAGACCCCTACGTTCATCTTGATAACTTCTTGCTCTACTGTGATACTTTAAAGATGAATGGAGTCTCACGTGACGCCATCTTGCTCAGACTATTTCCATGCTCACTGAAGGACAACGCAAGAGCTTAGCTACAATCACTGCCTGAAGGAAGCATCACCAATTGGGATGACTTAGCAATGAAATTCTTGGCCAGATTCTTCTCAGCTTCAAAGATGGCTAGGCTCAAATCAGAGATCACTGCTTTTGAACAAAAAGAAAGCGAATCTTTGTACGAGGCATGGGAAAGGTTTAAAAGACTACTCCGAAAGTGTCCTCAACATGGCATTGAAGCTTGGGAGAAATGACGAATTTTCTTCCAAGGTATGATGCCAAGCACAAGAACCTTGGTGAATGCCGCAGTAGGAGGATCGTTGAAAACAAAAACTTCAGAGGAAGCATTGGAATGGCTAGAATCTTTAGCTTCTCAGGAGTATGACAATGCTCCAGTCTCAGAAAGGAGAGCGTGAATCATGAAGCTTGATGGCTATGATGCAATCTTGGCTCAGAATGAACAAATACTGCAAATTAATAAGAAACAACAAGCACAATTAGATGCTCTTACAAAGCGATTTAATCTTTCTCAAGTTTCTTCTATTAGTAATTCTCAAGTTACTTGTGGTATTCGTGCAGGTGCTCATGCAATTGAAGAGTGCGACTACATGAGGACACCTAAAAAAGATGAGGTCAACGGTATCTGGTACGATCAAAAGAACCAGAACAATCCAGGGAGGAATCAATATGGGAATAACTATAGTCAAGGGTGGAAAAATCCTAATCAACACTCAGGGTTTATGTAACGCCCGACCGCTTCAAGAATCAATGACTATTCCCACATACTGACACGAGACTTTTCAGTGTGTTTTTTTCTCACTCGCGTATTTCCCGGGAAAACTTCCCAGGAGGTCACCCATCCCAGAATTGCTCCAAGTCAAGCACGCTTAACTGTGGAGTTCTTCTGATCCGGGCTACCGAAAAGCAGATGCATCTTGTTAGCATAGATAGTACCAATTAATTCTTATAAGCTATCCCAAACTGTGCAGTCTTATACCTGCACAGCCTTTGGAATTCCTCTCTTTCGGGTGTCGATTCGATTCATTCATGCATATAATCCCCCACTGGAAGCCTGTCAGGAGCCGCTCCTTGTCCATGCCCTTTCGCACCGGCGATCACTCCCCGCCCTCGTCAGCGCCCGGGATGTTACATGCCCACCAGTTTCCGCCTGGTTCGTCATCGAACCACACCGTACTGGAAGAGAGGCTCTGTTTTGATACCACTTGTAACGCCCGACCGCTTCAAGAATCAATGACTATCCCCACATACTAACACGAGACTTTTCAGTGTGCTTTTTCCTCACTCGCACACTTCCTGGGAAAACTTCTTAGGAGGCCACCCATCCCAGAATTGCTCCAAGTCAAGCACGCTTAAATGTGGAGTTCTTCTGATCCGGGCTACCGAAAAATAGATGCATCTTGTTAGCATAGGTAGTAGCAATTAATTCTTATAAGCTATCACAAACTGTGCAGTCTTATACCTGCACAGCCTTTGGAATTCCTCTCTTTCGGGTGTCAATTCGATTCATTCATGCATGTAGGCCCCACTGGAAGCCTGTTAGGAGCCGCTCCTTGTCCATGTCCTTTCGCACCGGCGATCACTCCCCGCCCTCGTCAGCGCCCAGGATGTTACAGTTTAGTTATAAATCAACCCATCATTTAAATCCTCCTCTGCCACTGCAATAATAACCCCACCACAAGGCAACACTTTTGAGTGGGAGAAAGTTTTTGCACAACTGTCCAAAACTACCTCGAACTACATTCATAATGCAAATGCTTTCAGAGATGAAACAAGAGCTTCATTCCGGAATCAAGAAGCTTCTATCCGGAAACCTGGAAACTCAAATTGGTCAGCTGCCAAAACAGTTCGCGGAAAGAACTCATGGAACTTTCCCAAGTAACACAGACACGAACCCAAACGCACAATGTAATTATATTGTTACCAGAAGTGGGATCGTAATCCAACTTGTGGAAAAGCCGCTAGTTGAGAAGAAGAAAAAAGCTGAACCTGTAGCTGAGAAGGAGAAAGAAGAAGACGCAGAAGAAGCCGAAAAGAGCAGTCCAGAAAAGAAGCTGTTCAAATGGGAGAAAAAGAAAGCTTTGGACCGGCAACCAAAATCGGCAAATCCATCTCCTTATGCACGAGTTCCATACCCTCAGCGGTTGAAATAAGAGATTCAGAAACAACAATACACCAAATTTCTAGATATCTTCACAAAGTTGCAAGTGAACATTCCTTTCGCAGAAGCCCTGGAAAACATGCCGAATTATGCAAAATTTATGAAAGACCTTCTTTCAAAGAAGCGCAAGTTGAAGGAGTGTGAAACAGTGACCCTGACGGAGGAATGCAGTGCTATCATCCAGAAGAAACTTCCTCCCAAGCTGAAAGATCCAGGCAGTTTCAGTATTCCTATAGCCATAGGAAATATTGAAGTAGGAAAGGCATTATGTGATCTGGGAGCGAGTATAAATCTGATGTCACTTTCCATGTGTAGAGCTCTTGGAATCAAAGAGCTAAAACCAACTACGGTTTCTCTCCAGCTAGCTGACAGATCGATCAGACGACCAGATGGGGTAATTGAGGATGTTTTAGTTAAAATTGAAAAGTTTATCTTCCCTGCAGATTTTGTAATTTTGAATATGGAAGAAGATGCGGAGATTCCCCTACTGCTCGGGAGGCCATTCCTAGCCACCGCAAGAGCTATGATTGATGCAGATCAAGGAAAACTGATGCTTAAGATGAATGAAGAGACGGTCACCATTCACGTTTTCGAATCAATGAAACATCCGTCAGATGGAGGAAACTGTTTTATGGTTGATATTATATAAAAAGCAGTTGATGACACGATGAAAGAGGAGAGTTCCCCACTCGAGTTAGAGCAAATCAACGAAGAAGCTGGGCTTGCTGATAAAGAACCAGTGGTGGAAGAATTAGAGAGAAAGAAAGATGACATCCCTCTTGGAGCACCAAAGGTGGAGCTTAAGGAGTTACCTCCAAATCTGAAATATACTTTCCTTGGTGACAACAACACTTATCGAGTCATCATCAGCATCGAGCTGACAATTATGGAAGAAGAAAAGCTTCTCAAGGTGTTGACAAGCACAAAGCTGCCTTATGATGGTCTTTCTCCGACTTAAAAGGTATAAATCCTTCCTTTTGTACTCATAAAATTTTAATAGAAGATGATATTAAACCTGTGAGGCAGCCGCAAAGGAGACTCAATCCAACCATGAAAGAGGTGGTGAGGAAAGAGGTAGTTAAATTGTTAGATGCAGGAATGATCTACCCTATATATGATAGTGCATGGGTAAGTCCAGTATAAACTGTACCCAAGAAAGGTGGAGTCACGGTGGTAAGAAACGAGAACAACAAGTTGATTCCAACAAGGACAGTCACCGGGTGGAGGATGTGTGTTGACTATAGAAGACTAAATGCAGCCACTCAGAAGGACCACTTCCCAATTCCTTTCTTGGACCAGATGTTGGAGAGACTAGCTGGCCATGCCTTCTACTGCTTTTTGGATAGGTACTCGGGTTACAACCAAATAGCATTTACATGCCCATACGGAGTCTTCGCTTACCGAAGGATGCCCTTCGACCTGTGCAACGCTCCGGCAACTTTTCAAAGGTGTATGCTTTCTATCTTCTTTGATATGATTGAGAAATCTATTGAGATCTTCATGGATGACTTTTCTGTTTTTGGCCCCTCTTTTAAAACTTGTCTAGAATATTTATCATGCGTTTTACAAAGATGTCATGAGAGTAATCTTGTTTTGAACTGGGAAAAATACCTCTTCATGGTAAAAGATGGCATTGTTTTATGACACAAAGTATCTAAAGAAGGTATAGAAGTTGATAGAGCTAAAATAGTTGTTATTGAGAAACTTCCCCTCCCTCTAATGTTAAAGATATTCGAAGTTTTCTCGGTCATGCAGGTTTTTACAGGCGCTTTATCAAGGACTTTTCCAAGATAGTAAAGCCACTATGCAAGTTGTTGGTCAAGGATGAGGAATTCAACTTCACAGATGAATGTTTGAATGCATTTAATATTTTAAAAAATCGATTGACCACGGAACCTATAATCACTGCACCTAATTTCATTTTACCTTTTGAATTAATGTGTGGTGCTAGTGATTATGCCATAGGAGTTGTCTTAGGACAAAGAAAAGATAAATTGTTGCATGTAATTTACTATGCTAGTAAAATTCTTAATGATGCAGAAATGAATTATGCAACCACTAAAAAATAATTACTAGCAGTTGTCTATGCTTTTGATAAATTTAGACCGTATTTGCTGGGGTCTAAAGTAATTGTTTACACTGATCATGCTGCTTTAAAGTATCGTTGAATAGGCAGGATGCAAAACCACGATTGCTCAGATGGATGCTGCTCCTTCAAGAATTTGAAGTAGAGATCAGGAACAAGAAAGGCGTGGAGAACTTGGTGGCTAATCACCTCTCCAGGATCCAAGGAAAAGATCTTCAAGATGGACCTGAACTGGAGATTAGAGAAGAGTTCCCTGATGAGTAAATATTGGCTATCAATGTTATCTCGGATATGCACTTGGAAGAAGTAAAGACCACAAGTACACCTCCATGGTTCGCAGATTTCGCAAACTTCAAAGCAGCAGGAGAAATTCTAGTAGACTTTACATGGCAACAAAGAAAAAAATGTATGCACGATGTGAATAAATATTATGGGATGAGCCATTCCTTTTCTACAGATGTGCTTATGAAGTGATCAGGCGATGCATTCCGGAATAGGAGATGAAGGATATCTTGTGGCATTGTCATGGGTTCAGCTACGGTGGACATTTTGCGGGTGAAAGAACATCCGCAAAGGTACTGATGAGTGGCTTTTATTGGCCAACACTTTACAAGGATGCAAGAAAGTTTGTGGAAGCATGTGATAGATGTCAGAGACCGGGGAATATCTCTAGAAGACATGAAATGCCCCTCAACAACATATTGGAGGTTGAAAGATTCGATGTGTGGGGAATAGACTTCATGGGACCCTTTCCTCCTTCCTATAGAAACAAATACATCCTTGTTGCGGTGGATTACGTCTCCAAGTGGGTAGAGGCTATTGCTCTTCCTACTAATGATTCTCGGGTAGTCATTGCATTCCTCAAAAGAAACATCTTCGTCAGGTATGGGGTACCGCGAGCAATCATAAGTGACGGAGGGACTCACTTTGACAACAGACAAGTGGAATACGTGCTGGCTAAATGCGGAGTGAAACACAAGATTGCCACACCATACCATCCGCAAACAAGTGATCAAGTGGAGATATCCAACCGAGAGCTTAAACGGATACTGGAGAAGACGGTTGGAAGCTCGCGAAGAGACTGGTTCAAGAAACTTGATGATGCACTGTGGGCATACCGGACCGCATTCAAAACTCCAATTGGTATGTCCCATTTCCAATTACTGTTCGGGAAAGCCTGTCACTTACCAGTGGAGTTAGAGCACAAAGCACTGTGGGCAATCAAGTACCTGAACTTTGATTCCAAGACCGTAGCTGAAAAGAGACTACTTCAACTGGATGAGCTCGATGTGTTCAGACTCTCTGCGTACGAGAGTGCAAGTCTCTACAAAGAGAAGACGAAGAAGTGGCACGACAAGAAGATCCTACCTCGAGACTTCAAGGTGGAACATCAAGTATTACTCTTCAACTCTCGCCTCCGTCTCTTTCCTAGGAAATTGAAGTCCAGATGGTCGGGACCGTTCATTGTGAAGAACATGAAATCATATGGAGCAATGGAGATCAGTCCACTGGATTCTGACAGAAGCTTCACAGTCAATGGTCAGCGTCTCAAACTATACATAGGAGGAGAAATAAACAGGGGAACGACCACCGTTGCCATTATAGAGGTAACTTGAACCAGGTACGTCAGGCTTGTGATGTTAAACAAGCGTTGATGGGTAGGCAAAAATAAGTAGATATGTGAGACTAATGGTTGTTATTAAGTTACAAGAAGAAGAAATGGAACACACAGCCAAGGTATGAAAAATATTTTTGAAGTAATCAAGAGCGTTTTAGCGCGGACCTGAGCGCTAAAACGTTCTCAGGAAGGAAGTATAAAAGAAAATTGAAGTTTAGGGCGTGTAAACTCTAACTAGCACGCTAAAACATGCTAATAATGGGAAAATTAAGAAACTTACTGCCCTTGGGCGTTTTAGCGCAGACCTGAGCGCTAAAACGCTCTGGAAAGAATGAATTAAGGGATCGAAGAGCGCGTTTTAGCGCGCTCCTGACCGCTAAAATGCGCTCATGCCTTCACAGGGACCAAGCTCTCTGCCATAGAGCGTTTTAGTGCGAAATATGCGCGCTAAAACGCCCTCACACGGACCATATTTGTTTAAATCCCTTTCCTTCCCTCACTCCTTTCACACACACCCCTCTCCTCGCTCTCACTCTCATTTGCATCACACTCATTTCGCTGCACTCACTCTTTCCCTCAAGCATCTTTTTGCTCGTTTAACACAAGGAATTCCAGGTAATTGTTTTCTTTGCACTAATTTTAATTGATGCATTGCTGAAGTTAAAGAATCGATCCTAGGGTTCAGTTTCATGACCGTTTGGAATTGGTATGATAATTTGGATGTCATTGAATAAAACCTAGGGTTTCAATAGAGGATGGTTGAATTACTTGGTGCCAGTTAGAAATTGTAGGAAAAAGGATTCAATTTAGTTATACTTGCTGCATTGAATTGAGTAACTCAAATTGGTGAGGGATTCCATGATTAAATTGAAATCAAATACTCCCTCCCCATACATGCACATCAACTGTTTGATAGAATGTCACATACAAAGTGCAAGAGAAATTCATAAGGAAGGAGTGTTGTTCAAATCGTAGAGGAAAAGTTTACATCCATAGCTGAATTTTTGATTAAAGAAGGTTTAATTACATGTTTACATAGGTTAGTTTCTATGCATCCTAATGATGCACACAATGTGTTCGGTCAAATGCATAAACCAAAGGTAAACTGACCAGGGATTTTTGTGACTAACCTTAGGAAACAACACCTTGAGCTTGGAGTACCTTAGATTTGTGAACCATAATCATAATGAAACATTCTGATAGGATAAGATGCATACATATCTACACTCTTTATACAGTTGACTATGACCACACATAAACCAAACATTGTGCTACTTCATTCTTTTACATTGGGGACTGTTGTCATACAACCATTGAGAGAGGTATGCTTATTAAATTTTGGTTGCGAATTCTGTGTTACAAGTTACGAATGAAAGTGACAATTACTGTTGCAAATTGAAGAACACAGATAGAAACTCCTAATAGATAAAATCCAGCATTTGATTCCTGGACTGCTAGTGGCTATGGAACAATTTTTTGAATTTCAGGATGTCTACCAGGAGCAAAAATACCAAGAGGCATAAGGTGAACAGGGGCAGATCCAGTTCTAGACCAGCAGCTGAAGCTGGTTATGATGAGCACCGGTTCCGGTCCATAGCTCATGCTGACAGGTTCAATGATATGATCAAGAAGAAACCCTTTGTCAGAGAAAGGGAATTCTATCTGAAGCAGGGTCAACACCTAGATTTCTACAACATGCTAGTCTCTCGAGGGTGGAGAAAATTTGGAAGACTACCAATAGAAGCCTTAGAAGAGCTAGCTAGAGAATTTTATGCCAATGCCTACACGGTTGAGCAGGGAACCAGAAGATAATATATTAGCTATGTCAGAGGGAAGACAGTTAGATATGATTTCACCACCATCCAAAACCTTCTCCAGACTGCTCACCATGACATAACCACCCAGAGGACTTGCAGGTTTCAAACAAAACTTGCAATCATTGAGTATGAACATAATGAACCTTTTGGAGTAGCTGAGCCTGTTCTCCAGGGGATCACTCTTCTTGGAGAAAAGTGGGACCCAACAAAAGACCACCTCCAACCCAAAAGGATCTGGTTGAGACAGCTGAACAATGTGGTAAAAGTGTGGCATCACTTCATCATCTGCAATATCATGCCTAGTTTAAAGCAAACTGAGGTGGTGGTGAAAAGAGTCATGCTGATCCATACCATCATGGAGGGAGGGCGAATATACTTGCCTCGGATTCTAGCTGATAGCATTTATGATATGGCTCACACCAAATCAAAGTCAGCTGCCATTGGTCATGCCTCTCTGATCCAAAGTCTATGTGCGGAGCAGGGGTAGAAATCCCCACTGAAGGAGACAAGATCCCCTTGCGTCCTCCGATAGACGCAAAGTATATTTCCACCTATGTAGGAGGACCAGCTGTTGATGGGGAGGATGACACAGTACCACCACTTCATGAGACTCGTGGCAGGCTGAGACGCACACCAGGACCATGTGGTCCAGCTGAGAAAGAGCCAGCTCCGACTACTGATAGTAGACTGGATGATCTCGAGACACAGATGGGGTTTCTCAAGCGTCGGCTCAGGTACATACAGCAGAGAGAGCAGGACTACAAGACCTACATGGTGGCATATCATTGCCAAGGTCGACCCGATGGACCTCCCTCATTTCAGCCGGAGCCATATGACGGATCCGAGGAGGAGGATGCTTTTGATGCGGCCCGGATGAGTACTACTATAGCCCAGGCCACGACTTCACATGTTGCGGAGGAGCCCGATGAGGATGCAGTTGCAAATGTTGGACATCAAGAGGAGGCTAGCGAGGATACTGAGATGATCCCAACCATTGTGCAAGATGCTGAGGAGGATGACATGGATGAATGAAGACATCATTAGCTCACTGCTGACACCACTTCTCCACTTTTTCTTTCAGTTTTCTGTTTTCTGTTATTTTATTTGATGATTTGAGACTAGTATTTTGTTAGGCTAACCCCGTGATGTGATTTCGTATTTCGCTCTTATGTTTGATTATTCTGGATTGTTCTATGCTGTTTCAGAATGAGCGACTAGTTGTTCTTAGCTCTCACGCGATTTCTTTTTAGATTTAAATATGTTGCTGAGGACAGCAACATTTAAATCTGGGAATGAGGAACGCACGATTCATCTAAGCGCAATGGAGTGAGCTAGAAGGGGCTTAAGCCTGCAAATGGAGGAGGCTTAAGCCTGCAAATGGAGGCTTAAGCTCGCTCAGGGGACTTAAGCGCCCTGGTGCACCTGTGAGTGGAGAAACTTTATGCCACATGGGGCTTAAGCGCCCTGGAGCGTGCTTAAGTGCCCTTGGTGGTCAAAAAATACCATTTTCCTCTGCCTGTGTGCGCTTAAGCTCGTTGGAGCGCGCTTAAGCGCTCTGCCGGGCGGAAAACATGTTCGAAGAGGGCGCTTAAGCGCGCAGCCCGTTTTCAGCATAAACATGAGTTAGTAAAATTGGTATAACGCGAGCTACAGAGCTCCAAATTGAGCGCGATTTGAAACCAAGCATAGCTAACGAAGAGAGCTATAACATAGTAAGAGATGAGAGTTAAAAGATAAGTTTTAAATTAATTGGGTAATAAGAAAGATAGTGAATACACTGGTACTGAACATGAACAAAATAAGTTTTAAGCTTTGTTGGTTTATGGGAACCACTTAGCATCTTTAATTGTAAGTTGCATGGTATTAAGCTACGGCTTCCTTAGAGTGAAATCCACAATGAAAATTTGAGCTTAATTTGTAAGCAAAAGTATGCGAACTAAGCTAGATGGGAAATGTTCTACCTCTAAAAATCCAATGATTCTAGAAAGACCCAATTTGAAAAAATGAAAAGTTGAATCAAAAAATGGAATGCTCAGAAAAAACAAATAAGAAAAAAAACTGAGTACCAAGTGAACACCAGGAGAATCGAAGTTCTTGACTCGGATATTAGCACCAACATCGCCCTAAGACTCGAAGCTCAAATTGGCAGCATCCACCTGAAACAAATTGAGCTGATCGACGGAAATGGTGGCCACCACCTGTCTTACATTGTGAGCTTCCTGGTAGAATCCAGGAATAGAAGCTTTTCCCTACAGAATCCACGATATGTAATGAAGAACCTGGACTCGCCGTACCTAATCCCCACCATGTTAGGGTTAACGATCTTGAAGAGTAGCCAAATGGTGAGGGAGAGGGATGCGGCGGTCCCGGTGACGGCGAGGGTTAGGTCGTTGGAGGGTATTATACCCACATACTAAATCCCAATTTGCTGAAGATTGAATTGTGGCTTCTTGGGCTTCACATCAAGGATGATAATCAGCACCACCGCTTGCACTAGAAGTTCTAGGAATGCGAATAAGAGGCAGCAACAACACCCTTTGAAGACGCCGATGAAGAATAATGAGATAGTGTCGTTGGAAAATGTGAGCGATGGCTAACATGGGTCTTGGGTGCTCAAAGATATTCCCAAGAGGCAAAGGGTTTTTGGGAAAAATTGTTCTTATCCTATCCTGTTTGATTCTAACCCAGGTCCCCCCTCAAGATTAGTATAACACTTCATAATTCTAAAACCTATAATTATAGTTAAAATGAGGATTAAAGGGTAGGATTAGTGAAAATCTCGAATTTTAAGTCAAAATATGTAAAAAGGGTAAAACGGTAAATTGCCAAACATGTAACCCTAGACAATGAAATGTTAGTAGAAGGTCTCAAATGGGAAAACTAATCCTGGAAATGGATTCAAAATGAAAAATTGAGTGGTTAGGCAAGTTTCAGGAAATTTGATGAATAATGTTTTTATCGGGTAAAAGTACAGCGGTACAGTTGCACCGAAAAGCGTGCTGAATGAAATTAGAGCTCTAAGCTTGGAAATAAGTTGGAAAAGGTACATAGGACTAAGATTTATGATTATTGGGGAAACATGCTTTCATTGTTGTCTTGCCTTTACTCTAGGACATCGATGTGCTACCAAAAGTTTGAGACTCACCATTTTAGGTGAGGGTGAGACTGCCATGGAGTTTGATAGTGAGAATCATACGCAAGAATTTCAGGAACAATGTGTGGCTGAGGTAGTGGATGAAGGGGAACTACAATGGTTAGATTTATCTTTTTTCTTGGCTCCCGGGTTAACTCCTCCTAAAACCATGAAATTGAAGATTGAAATTTTGGGTGAATCAATTTTGGTATTTCAGAATTGGGGACAATTTGTTGAAAATAAAGTAATATGCTTTAGGCAATGGGATCCGAGTGGAAATTCCTCTCACATTATCTGCCTTTTCTCTTCACCTTGAGGACAAGGCGAGTTTTTGAGAGGGAGTATTCATGGGCCTATGGGCTAAAAGAGATGAGAATTAGTTAGTTAGTTAGGGAATCTTCTAGAATATTCCTAGATTATAAGATAAAAGGAGGGGAAAGAGTGTAGTGAAGTAGGCATGAATTGAGCATTTGGTGAGTGGAATTTGAGAAAGGATCTCTTGGGATCTGGGCCTAGGTTTATTGGTCTTGAAGAGTGAGTTGAGGTCTTTTAATTTATCTTTTCTGCGTTGTCATTTTCTATTATCGTTTATTGTTGGATTCTTTATTCAAGTTGTGGAGTCTGTGCTTGTTCGTTCCAGTTTGCTGTCATTACTGTAAAGGAGTTTGTCTCCAAGAATCTTGAATTAATAGAAATATATCAGTGTTATTTGTGATTATCTTGCTGGGTTCCATCAAGTTACTACTAAACTCATCTTCAGATCAATTATCTGGCAGATTTTTCCTGTAAGATTGATACTCTTAACTCCTCACTTTATTATTCGTTGACCTTGTATACTAAGCGCATGCTGAGATATTTTTGCATTAGATTAATTAGTAGAGGTGTTGCCGTATTTCCAACATGTTGCAATCATCAGATCAAGATGCCTTAGATATTTGCTGAGATGGACAATATTTAGAGAGCTTAATAATTCTAACCTGCCAACTGAATCCAACTACTACCAGGTTGCTTATTAACGCTTCCTTCCACCATTTTGTTTCTCAACTCTAAGCAATTTTTCCACATTGATGCTGACGCATAAATGTTAGACAGTAGAACATAGGTTGAGGGTTCATTCAGTTCTACATCACCAAGCATCTTTGATATTCTGTTTCCTACTTCACCATTCTCATGTTTAGAGCAAGCACCTAGGAAAGTTTTCCATAGAAGAGATTTTGAATGAAACGGAGCTTCCTTTATCAAAGCCTCTGCTTCTTCCAATTTTGCAGCTCGACCAAGAAGATCAACCATGCAAGCATAATGATTTATGGTTACTTCAGAGTTGTATTTACTTCTCATGTACTCGAAATGTTTGCAACCTTCCTCCACCAGTCCAGCATGACTACATGCAGCTAAAACCCCAGTGAAGGTAACACCATCAGGTTCCATCCCAGCTTCTATAGCCTTGTTAAACAGGTCAATAGCTTCTTTCCCAAGCCCGTGATAAGCATATCCATATATCATGGCTGTCCAAGATATTAAATTATGGTCATGGATAGTATTGAAAAACTTGCAGGCATCTTTAATATTTCCACATTTACTATACATGTCTGTAATGGAAGAAGCTACGTGAAAATCAATTTCAAAGCCAAGTTTGATAGCCCACGAATGGAAACATTTGCCTATGTCCAATGCTGCTAAGCCTGCAGCAGCTGAGATACAGCTGGATAAGATAGACTCGTCAACCTGCAAAATGCGAGCAGCTTGGAATTCTGCAAAAAGCTTAAGTGCTTCTTCATGATAACCATTTTGGACCCATGACGTTAACATGACACTCCAGGAGATAAGATCCTTTTCTTTCATGGACAAGAATACCTGGAAAGCATTCAGAGTTTCATGTTTAAATACTCCATACATGTTGATCAGGGCACTTCCTACAAACGGATAATATTCAAATCCTACTTTCATGACATAAGAATGTACTTGTTTTCCTACATCAAGCGCCTTTATTTCTGCACAAGCTTGAACAACACTAATTAAGGTGAACTGACTAGGTTTTGAATATAGAAGCATATCACGGAAGATCCCCAGAGCTTCTACAAAGTGCCCTGATTCACTGCATCCAGATATGATAGTAGTCCAAGTAAACTCATTTCGTATTTTCATCGTTTCAAAAACCAACTTTGCGTCATCAATGACTCTACATCTAACATACATCTCAAGAAGAGCATTTTCTAAGTCCAACCTATAGTCATCTTCATAAGGGTTTTTAATCATGTAAGAATGAAAAGATCTTCCTTCTTTAAGCATAAAAAGGCTCCCACAAGCCCGTAGAACATAGCTGATCGATGAATTGCTTGGAGCAATACCACCTCCTCTCATCCCACAAAACAGCTCTAAAGCTTTCATATCATTTGAATTGAGTATTAAACTATTCATCATGGCACTTATGCAAATTTCATTCTTATTGCAAACGTCAAGAAAACAATTATAAGCATCAGATATCATCCCAAAGTTTCCATACATGCTGATAAAGGCACTGCCAAGATATGAATCCATCTTAAAGCCATGTTTGATGAAACCACAGTGAACTTGAGTACCAGCAAGCTCTGTCTCCAAATTTGAGCACAAACTAGCAACACATGCACAAATATATGGGTCTGGTTTATTACCTTTACAAAGAAAATCAATATAAAATGAAAGTCCTTCCTTAGATTTTCCAATCTGATTAAACCCAGCAAGTAAAGCACATAATGACACATTATCCCGCTCTTCAAGAATATGAAACACTTTACAAGCATCATCTAATAATCCCAGTTTGGCATAGAAGTCAACAAGGGCTCCACCCACCACAACATCATTTTCAATCCCAATCTTCACAGTGTGGCCATGAACAGACCTTCCAAGTTCAAAATCCAACACATCAGCACAGAGTTTAACAAGGATTGTGTAAGTGAAACAATTCGGGGACATGGCAGAGTGCCCCATCTCACGGAACAACTTCACAGAACCCTCCACATCAGACATCCGCACGTAAGAATTCAGCAAAGTATTCCACAATGCCTCACATCTTTCACTCAAACAAACGCCATTAAAAAACTTCCTCGAATTCTCAATATCTCCACAATCAGCATACATGTGAAGAATCGAAGCACAGCAAAAACTATGCGAATCAAACCCGCTTTTGAGTATCAAACCATGAATGAGCTTACCCATCACAGAATCACGCATCACCCTGCAAGCTTTGAGTGCCACAGAGAAACCAAACTCATTCGGGCGCATCCCGGATTGACACAAGCTACAAAACAAACTAAGACCCTTTACATATTGCCCCACGTGGACATAACAAGAGATCAAGCTCGTCCAAGAAACCAAACTCGGATGGGGAATTTCATCAAACAGGTTATGTGCATTCTCGGGTTCTCCAATATCGCCATAAAACCTCACCATATTGTTTTGCACAAAGACATCCTTGTCGAGGGCACTTTTAACGAAGAGAGAATGAAGGGTTCTGCCACAGTTTATGTCTTTGTGGTTCCTCAGGTGTTGCAAGAGTGAGACACAGTCTTGGAAGCAAAACCCTCCATTATTTTGGAGTTCTGAGGATGTTTTTGAATGGAATGGTCTTTTTGTCAGGATTGGTTTGTTAGATAAATTGGTGATGTGGGTTCTGAAAAACAGTGAGAGCGTGATGGAGACACGTTTGGTTTGAGTGGAATTGATAAAGAAAAGATTGGTGATGATCATGTTTTGTAACAATCATGAGTGAAAAACTTTGGGAATAGATTTTGGATTGTTGTGTCATCTGGAACGGAGTGTCAGTGGAAGGTAGCTGTTGTTTCTATTGGACAATTTTGTTTTGCTTTTTCAACAATTTTTTATTGTCAATTGTGAACACCTGAAGATTTGATGTCAGGAACAAGGTGGAGATTCCATACTTCCGATTTTGAATTAGAGCCGTTTGACTTTTTTGCTGCAACGGGGACTTTGCTAGGAGGTTTTTTTTTTTTTTTTAGGATTTTTAAAACATAGAGGGTGATAATTTTATTTATCTATATTTGGTATAATATTTTAAAAAAAAATTCAGAAATTTAATTTTTCTGAAATTTTATTGTGTGTAAATTTTTTTGAAAATACTATCCATGAGTGGTATTTTAGGATTCTCATAGCAAGAAAAAATTTAACACAGCCAAACATAGTTTCAAACAAATTAACCCAATATTTCAGGAAATATTTTAACTTACCAAACAATTTTTTTATGACATTTCTGGGAAACTCATTTGCCCACCATATTCTTAGAAATCGTGATTTCTGAATAAAAAAAAATTTCTTCTAACAAACGCTCCCTTTTCTTTTGTTTAGAAAAAATAAAGTAATTTGATAAAAAAATCTGTTTGGATGTCTCTTTTAAAAAAAATCACAACAAAAGTTATTTTTTTAAGCTAAAAATTTAACTTTTAAAAAAAAGAAGTCAAAAATTAAAAGCCAAATATTTTTTTAAAAATTTAAATAGCTTTAATTTTTGAAAAAAAAAACACTTTTAAAATAAACTATGCATAAGAAGTCCTTTTTATAGAAATTTATCCAAACGGACCTGCAACTATCTGTACAAAACTCGTGTTATATGTGAACACAATCACTAGAAGACTATTATTTTGATAAGGGTTTTATTATTCTCCTTCAACATAAGATAAGTATCTTATGTTGTAGAGATAAAATAGGTGGGTCCCACCTTTACAAGAAAAAAGAAAAAAAAGAAAAAAGTGAGGTGCGGAAATCGAAGTGAGAGAGTAGGAGAGAAGTAATCTTATGTAAAAGGAGAGTAATATTTCCCTTTTGATAAATAGCAAAAAAACTTAAATGGCATTCACATCGTTAAGCATACACTACATTAATTCAATATATCTATGTATGGAAAAATTCAATAAAGTGAGTATACTTTAAAAATAAAATGAGAGTATATTCATTCTTAAATCATTTAGATGACTGTCATTATGATGCATTTTATAAAATAAAGGGGAAATAACATGAAACCATTGCTTTTTCAAAAAACCACCTTCCAATATTAATTGAATCGATTAACCTCATTTTACTTTAACATTAGAAAAATTTAATATATTCACCTTCCAATATTAATTGAATCAATTAACCTCATTTTACTTTAACAATAGAAAATTTTAATATATTTGATATTTTAACAACCAAATTATTTCCAATATCAATCCACTATAAGCCATAGTTTGTTGACACCACTCTTCGTTGACAATCAATCATATGTTGCATCTCACCATCTACCGCAGCCCATGCATTTTTATGTATATATAGGAAATACATTTTATCTCATACCATGTAAAATATGGTTCCCAACAATATTTTGACTTTTGATAAAAACATATCCAACAAAATATCTGAATTTCTATTAAATTTAACAAATTCAGTACAAATTGTTGAAGGAACAAGGTAGTTAAGAAGCAGGGTTAGATCAAGCCACTATCTTGGAGTGCCACCAACATATGGTTGTTGTGGGAAAGATTTTAATAGTAGTCATGGGAAAGATTTTAGGGGCTGTTTGGTAGCGGTCTTTGCAAAAAATACCTAGAGAAATTAGATAGGGAATGAAAGATGTCAATGATTGGTAGGAGATTCTGAAAAATTATGCTAGCAAAATGGTATACCCAGGCAACGTAGATCATGTGAAAAACTCGGTTGATTTCACTGTTCTTAATACCCACATCGTCGGTGGTAATCAATGGGTGTCTAGGAAAGGAAAAAATGAGCACCAAAATATTGTCAAAATTGACCCTTCTTTACTGTTGAGCACCAAAATATTGTCAAAATTGACCCTTCTTTACTGTTGAACGTTTGCAAGAAGAAGTTTTTTTAGCTTCTCGTATGGTTCCCAATCGAAGCATCACTGACATCCACCCACTTCTGTCTCGTACGTATGGCAATTTGTGATGCTGCATAAAAAGAGCTTCACACGAAGTATAGACAAAAAGATGACATAGAAAAACAGATTAGACATGCTTGGGACCAACGAAGGAAGGGGTCAAGAATAGATGATTCCATTCCTGAAGAGAGAGACAATAAACATGTTTTTTATTTGCCTGGAGGAGGATCAAAGGGCATTCAAAGTTGGCTTGCCTGCAAACGAAGAACAAAAGCAAAAGGAAAAAGAAGAGAAGGTGAAATTATACAACCCCAACAATATATTGAGTCATAGTCAGGTGTTTATGTACATATTTTCAGTTTCAAAATTTACAATACCAATTTTGGTAATTTATACAAATTATCCCATCAATATTTTACTTTCTACCAAACAGATTTTGAAAACTTACTTAATTTACTCTGTAATAGTTCGACCTACCAAACAATTTTTTATCAAATTTACCAATAAATTTCTTTACCCATTATTTTTCTAGTAATTGTATTTACCTGGTTAACAAAATTTTCTCCTCTACCAAACACCCCTTTACGATTTTTGAATGAAAGAAACAAGTAAACACGGGAAATGGAAGACTTTCAGTAAAGAAATTTTTCAAGTATTTCTTTGGTGAGGGGCAATCGGCATTCGGAATCTGGGACGATGGTTGATGGCGGGTGACTGCGGCAGACGACAGATTAGCAGTAACCGATAATAAGAGTGGCTGGTAATGAATCAAAATGAGAGTATTTCTGTATTAAGATTGAAGTATATGCCTAATTGTTATAACATTAAAGTATAAGGTAGTGTTTGGTTGAGGAGAAATTTTTTTAAAGTGGATAATTGTCTTTACTAGGAAAGATGTTGGAAAGTTAGTTTTGTAGGAAAGTTTAAAAAAAGTTGTTTGGTAGCGCAAAATATTACTAAGAAAATTGGGTTAAAAATCCTGATGTGTGTTTGGTTGAAAATAAAATTGTGATGGGAAAAAAAATGCAAAAGACGAAATTAACCTTTCTATAAAATTAAACATTTTCACTCGCTTTCTTCTTTGAATTGCTACTTGCAGCATCCTCAAAGCAACCCCATTTTCACTCACTTCCACCCAAACCTTTCAGTTACTCATACTCTTCAACTTCATGTCCTTTCCCAACCAATCATCCACTTAACAATTGTGTTGTTCATTCCTCACTGTTCAACTCACTCTCTTCTCTTTTAAGTCCAGTCCCTTTTCAGCTAAGTTGTTTGGTTCTATGAAAAGTTTCAACTAAATAAAAAAGGAAGAAAATTTCGATTTGGGTCGTGAGATTTGATCCATTCAAGTTGAACATTCCTGTTGCGACAGCTCTGATACCTTTGGGTTCCAAACTTTATGTGGTTGACAATAACTGTTGGGTTTCCTCCAATGGTGATATTGCCTTTGGGTTCTTTAACATTTCTGATGAACCAAACCACTTCAGTGCTGGCGTGCCATTTTCAACGTGTGGTTAAGAAAGAGGGGGTATATTTGTCATGCCATTTTCAACCATTTTCACTTATCTGATACCCTCACCCAATACCACCTGTTGAAATGGATTCTTCAACAGTGTCAATATCCAATTTTTGCACTTCTTCTTGCATTGCAGGGGAAACCTGTTTGCTAGGGAAATTTTCCTAAAAGCTTCAACCAAACGTGGTTGACTCAGATTCCCACATGCACTTACCCACCAAAATTTTAACTTCTCCCCAACCAAACACTACCTAAGGGAATTAATTGAATTGAAAAAACAAGGTCACTTTTTTAAAAATAATATACGGTGATCTTATATAATTTAGCCTAAAATTTGTTTTGGAGATTATTTTAGCCTAAAATTAATGCTACATACATCTTTATTTACTTTCTTTTAAAACGGAATTTTCTCCCTTTAAATTTTTTTTTGATACATTTTTTTCCACTTATTTGTAGATGGGATTTTTATTTTATTTTTGTATTTATTCATTGGAGTTTTACCTTTCTTGAATTTTTATTTAGAGTAAATACCCTTTGGGTCTTCAAATATTTCAAAGAACTAAAATTTCAGAGGGACCACGAATCGACCTTTTTTTTCTAAGGGAGTAAAATGGATTCCGTGTTTTTTATTGAAGAACCAAAAAGGTATTTACTCTTTTATTTATTTGACTTTTATTTTTATTAAAAAAAAATTGTTCCATTTTTTTACATTAAGCACAACTATATTTTCACTTTAGATGCATTTATTTATTTTAATTGTGCTATGAAATAAATGAATCTAAAGTAAAAATATTTTTTAGAAATATTCCATCGGTTCATCGCTTCGCGATTAGTCCGATTCGGGGCGGGTCCAGGATTAAGGTTTTAAACCCCTCCCAAAGGTGGTACTGGAGAGTTTCGAACACATGCCCTCACCCCCACCTGCTCAGCTCCCATGCGCCAACTGAGCTACCACCATTTGGTATCTAAAGTAAAAATATAGTAGTGATTAATGTAAAAAAATGGAACTAAATAAGTTATAAAAATAAAAGTTAAATAAATCAAAATTCAAGAAAGGTAAAACTCCCATGAATAAATACCAAAAAAAAAAAAAACTCCCATGTAAAAATTGTGTTTATCATATCATCTTCCGTGATTTCAAAGTTATAAGATAGGTCCCTCTGTGATTGTAATATGCATTATTTAGCAACATCGACTAAAGTGTTATTTTTTGGCAAATGTTTTACCTAAATATCATGCAAACAGTATTTTTTACCAAACTGCCACACGTCAAAGTTCATTACGTCTAGTAGCGAACTTCGTCGCCTATGATTTCATGACACGTGGTCATATTGCATA